TCTCCCTGCGTCGCTGTGCCGATCGTGGATGCGGGCGGTGAGCGTGAGGCGGGCAGGAGGTGTGGGGCGGCCAGCGTGAGATGGGGAGGAGGTGCGGTGCGCAGCATGTGGAGCCGTGAACAGGGCCAACTTATCAGAAGCCAATTAATGGATGATTGAAAACGTTGCCAACGTTTTCAATAATCGATTTAGTCTAGTTGTTGCAGCCCTAGTAGCCTTAAATAGTACTGAGTCAGGCGCAGTTCCTTTTTTAAATTAAAGGAGAACTATGGGGTTAAGGCTTTTCCCCATAGTTCTCCTTAGGGTAACGGGAGGACACAAACTAGCGTCCTCCCGTCACCCTAGGCTCAATATATCGCAAGCTATAGTTCGTGGTATACTGAGACGCTGAAGCGGATCCCGACAATTATGTCTGGAACCGCCCAGCTGCATGACTGACAGCTGGCTCTGCCTATCCAGAGGCAGTGCCAGCTGTACCCGCCACCTCCCCGTCTGTTCCGCCAGTCAGCGCTGGCGGAGCAGGGAGGGGGGAATCCAGCCCCTCCCCTGTCACGGCAGAGAGCCGTGACGGGATCGAGAGGTGAGCGAACGCCGGTAACTGTTCGCTCACCTCCCGATCTACTGAGCCGACCTGTGACAGTCTCATTGTCACAGGTCAGCTAGAACTATGAGGTGAGTGAAAAGCACTCGCCTCATAGTTCTTTTAATTTCTCATACATGTTAACTATGAAGTAATGTCTTTGGAAATGTTTTACTGGAAATACGTGCCAGTTTATAATAGTTTATAATGGCGTATTAGCTAACTGGCAATTCCAAACAAGTAAAACCAGTGTTTCTTTACTACATATTTAGATTTCTCAAGCAGCAGGTGAATGAAGAGGCTTGGGATACAGTCTTTATGCAAATATTCTTGTGAAATAACCATCATTTATTAAGGAATTTATCAGCATGTGTCATGAGTTGTGTTGAGAAATGGTGTCATTTCTCCTTGGACAGTCATTGGCTGCCTTTTGTTCTTGGATTTTCCCAGCCTATCCTACGTTTGTTTTATGTTGTATTGTTGTCCCCTACCGCCATTACTCCAACCATTGTTATATTATGCCTAGCTGTTGATGCATTTTGATCAGCTGTTGTCTACCTTGAGGATAGGGATCTTCAGATACCAGTGCCAATACTCTGCATTTTCTACCAGGGTGGCAGCTGTGACTGAACTCTGGCGCTCCCCCCACTGTCCTGAAATCATTAATCTGTATTGTTTTAGAAAAACTGTTGCATGACAATAAACAAAAATGTATCAGTACTTGTATCTGCGAGTACTTAGACAAGAATCGGTGCTTAAAAAACGCATTGGTCCATCCCTAATATACACTATATTACCAAAAGTATTGGGACACCCCTCTAAGTCATTGGATTCAGGTGTTCCGTGAAATTTCCTTGCTACTAAATATTCCAAGGTCAACTGTTAGTGGTATTACAACAAGGTGGAAGCAACTGGGAACAACAGCAACTCGGCCACAAAGTGGTTGGCCACGTAAAATGACAGAGCGGTGCTGAAGCGCACAGAAGTTGCCAACTGTCTGCACAGTCTATAGCTACAGACCTCCAAACTTCATGTGGCCTTCAGATTGGCACAACAACAGTGCGTAGAGAACTTCATGGAATGGGTTTCCCTGGCCGAGCTGCTGCAGCCAAGCCTTACATCACCAAGTGCAATGCAAAGGGTTGGATGCAGTGGTGTAAAACACGCCGCCACTGGACTCTAGAGAAGTGGAGGCATGTTATCTGGAGTGACGAATCACGCTTCTCTGTCTGGCAATCTGACGGACGGGTCAGGGTTTGGCAGTTGCCAGGAGAAGGCTACTTGCCTGACTGCATTGTGCCAAGTGTAAAGTTTGGTGGAGGGGGGATTATGGTGTGGGGTTGTTTGTCAGGGTTTGGGCTTGGCCCCTGTTCCAACATTACTGCACACCAGTGCACAAAGCAAGGTCCATAAAGACATGGATGAGTGAGTTTGGGGTGGCGGAACTTGACTGGTCTGCACAGAGTCCTGACCTCAACCCGATAGAACACCTTTGGGATAAATTAGATCGCAGACTGCGAGCCAGGCCTTCTCGGCCAACATCAGTAACTGACCTCACAAATGCGCTTCTGGAAGAATGGTCAAACATTCCCATAGACACACTCCTAAACCTTGTGGACAGCCTTTCACAGAAGAGTTGAAGCTGTTATAGCGGCAAAGGGTGGGCCAACTCAATATTGAACCCTACAGACTAAGACTGGGATGCCATCAGAGTTCATGTGTGTGTAAAGGCGGGTTACTTTTTCGTCCCAATACTTTTGGTAATATAGTGTATATCAAACATTAAAACAGATGCACAAATCCCAGGTGCTCCGTATGCTTTTCAAAAATGACAGCTGCCTCCTAACTTTAGAATTTTTCTCTAGTCTTGGAGCTGGAAAAATATCTGTACTTGTACCGAGTTCGGTACTTGGTATGAGAACATCCCACATTTGGCCGCACTATTATACATTTTCCAGGGAATAGAGGTTATAATCTGGCTGGTTTTGGGGCATAACACTTTTTTTTTAATATACTATTTGTTAAGTCTCCATACTGGCCACAACCAAGGTCAACAAGAAACCCAGGCTGTTGTTATTATACCGCAGTGCAAGCTTACACAAGATACACCATTTTTCAGAATGTGCTTTTTCTCTATTTGCAGTTTATGAAATCCTTTTTATTTATACTTCATTTACAACAATAACTTCTCCTTCTCTGTGTATTTTTCAGCATTGGCAGTACCAGGGGATGGCATTAGCGCACCAGAAAAGATTATTTTTCCTGCAGAGAAAATAAGACTGAAATGGCAGCGAATTCAGAAGGTTGGAGCCGGTCTCCAAAATCTTGGCAATACATGCTTTGTCAACTCTGTGTTGCAGTGCTTAACATACACTGCACCACTTGCAAACTACATGCTGAGTCGCGATCATTCAAAGACGTGTGAGTATGGCTTTTAATAAACTCTTCTTTTAAGCAGTTGGGCAAGTGTAGCTTTCAGGTGCCAACAGTCTGCTGCTATTCAGCTGGTGCCTATTTATGATCAGATATGAGCTAATTGTTTCAGAAATCATGATGAATCGGTTAAATCTCTATTTGTATTGGAATCATGACTTGAGAGAATCACAGTTTGGGTTTATTACATATACAGCAATCTTGATTTGCCTGTACATATCGAGACATCTCTGATTCACCAGTTTTCACTCATTTTTGGGTTATGGTCCTTCCAACCCATTATGACATTCATGCTTTGATATTTCATGGTGTAATTTGCAGTATGCCCGTGTTATGGATTGTTATCTTTATTTGAGAACAATATTATGGCATCCTATAGATACTAAATATTTAAAACTGAAACTTTTTGACCATATGGCTTAACCCCCTGATAACACATACATGATCTGTCTTTACTTGACCCTGTTGGGAAGCAGATTACTTTTATTGGTAAAAAAAGCAAGAAAGGGAACTTGGAGGAAAGTGATTTTCATATTTTTTTTTTCAATTGAATTTCATATCTGATCTCCCGTTTCCTTTAATGTTTCTAGCTGTAAGTTCTTGATGCTATGCAGCACTGGCTTCAAGCAAGATTGCAACCTATTGTTAAACTTGTCCAGTATAATCCTTGCCAGTGCCAGCAAATTTGCCCTGCTGTGCTGCGATCCTTAAGTCCTTCCTTAAATGGGGAGCGTGAGCCAAGGCTCTGGAGAGCACACAGTCACATTATCTTGCTCTTCAACACCTACAAGCTGTTTTGGAGTTTTTTGGCCCTGGACTCATGGAGCAGCCCAGGAATTGGATGATACAGCCACCATTTTGGGCAGGTATATATACCTTGTACACACACATGTCCAACTGTGACCACCACAATTTTATTACTTTTATTTGAATATCGATAAGATTTTGGTGGAACACTCTAAATTCTGTTAGAAATTCTAAATACCAAGAATACATATTAGTACCTGTAAGGGAAAGTTTTAATCTCCCTAAGAAATTAAATAAGAATGTTTGTTTCTGTATTGTTATGGTAGCTCATGCAGATATTAAACCTACTGTGTGTTTCAGATTTCTATTGAAGCAGGTTGAGCTTCTATTAAAATAACCATGAGCACTTTCTTTAACTGGGAGTTAAGTGCCATGTGCATGCACCTGCTTTGTGGATTGATTGCATGATTGCCAATAATATGATAACCTCTGGTGCTGATGCTTAGCAGCCATAGGTCAGCAAATTAATTTTAGCAGCGAGACCTTGCTATGCATACTACCGCATCCATTGGACAGTCCATTTGGTGGGTTATGATCATTTTCATTGGTTAGTCTAAAATTGGAGAAGACATCCCATGCTAGATTCCTCAAGTTTTAGAAATCTTACTGCTCGAGAGTGTTGTGTGTGGCCATAAGTGATTTAGGAAGTCTAAGGGTAGGTTCACACCATTTTCCAGACCAGATCTGGTCCAGAAAATGGTGTGAACCTGTCTGCGGTTCAAGTGCATACCAGACAAAATGAGACATGCTGTATTTTTCTAGTCTGGTCCAGAACGGACTGCGCTGGTGTCAACAGAAGCCAGAAATAGCATTGGGTGTGGTGTGAATGGGCCCTAAATGTGAAGCTTATTTTGCAGAAAAGAAAAAAAAAAGTGTGCTCTGTGACTCTTGCCACATTAATGGCAATGTATAGTGTTTTTGTATATGTTTTTCTTCACTTTGGAAGCAGAATATATATAGCTTTCTCAGGTACATGTGACATATTTTATATTAATTTCAGCTTTCAAACTGCGCTAGGTGTGTAAAAGATCATTAAAAAGCTTGGTGTTGTGTTCAGAAGGCTGCTGCAAAGTATAAAAATCTTACCTTGCAGCATGCTATCCCCGCCAACCAACACCGAGCTTCTGTGAATTGAAGAGAGGGAGAGATGCAACCAAGCTGTACAAAGCTGCAATCGCATCACCTGCCCCTTTCCACCCTCGTTGTCTTTTTTTTTTTTTTTAAAGAATATGGGACATTCTCTAATTGGAAGACAGATGCCCCATCCACACTTCCTCCTCTCCTCCAATCACAGAAAATATTGTATTCTTTCAGTTAAGTATTTTAAAACTGCAGTTTAGGCTGGGTTCACACCTAGGCGACAGCATTTTTGCGAGTTTGATGCCTGTTTTTGCGTTTATACGTGCTTTTTTTTAATGCACATATACGGCTAAATGCGTGTTTTTGTGAGCAGATTGTAGCTCATTGATGTTAATAAGCAAACGCTCATAAAAATGCACAATAAACACAGCAAACGCACACTTTTAAGCGTTTTATTGAGTTTATGGGGCCAAAACTAGCTTTAATATGCCAAAAATAAATCTTGTGTACTTTTTTCAGCGACAGAAGTTTTTTGCTTCTTCTATTTCTGTTTTAGAAAGTGTTTCGACTTGCAAAGTGCCATTTTTTTCTTCTTTTATCCAGTCACTAACCTTATATTTGTATAATCAACTCTTCACATATATTCTTTAATGTCCTTAACCAGTTAAGGATCTAGGATATGCCTTGTATATGTTAGAATCCTGGGCATACAAGTTAGCCGACAGTACTAGTAGATTCACACCGGCAGTCTCCAGCCCACCGAGCTTAGGTTTTCTCAGTTTTATACTGGTATTCTCTCTACAAGAGACCTTAATTTCTATGTCATCCCACAGATTGGGGGATTTTCTGTCAAGCCCTCTTGGGTCTTCTGGATCAAGGGGTCATTGTCCCAAATTCCCTGGTGGAACAAATTAATAGGGTTTTTTCTCCAACTTGTTCATTGTTCCCATACACAAATGTGGCATTTGCCCCATCTTGAATTTCTAGTTCTTAATGTCTTCATTTGAATCCAGAAATTCTGCATGGCATTTACTGTATCTGTAATGTCTTCATTTGAATCCAGAAATTCTGCATGGCATTTACTGTATCTGTCATCGCCTCCCTTCTCCAGGAAGGAACTTTCTGACTTATGTGGGCATCATGGATGCAAACTTGCATGTCCATCTTTCCAGCACACTTGTTTCCTATGTAATGCGGTGGGGCCCCAACTACTGTTGTGTGGTCCTAACTTTCAGGCTTTTGTCTACATCACAAGTATTCACCAAAGTGTTAGCCCTACTATTTGCCTTGCTGTACTTTCTTGGAATACCCGTTCTGGCATACTTAGACACCCTCTTGTCCACGGAGCAGTTGCCGCAGGCTTCTGTTGAACAGTAATATAAAGTGCACTGCCCTATAATAAAGTGCTTAAAACCACCTATACCTACAAACATACATACATCACCTCGCATTAGTTGCTTTCACGAAATCCACAACCCCATGCAATACGTTTTCCACAATTTCACAGCGTTTGCCAATAAAAAAAATCTGATATAAAGTGTGCTGTATGTAAATATTTTGAACTAAATATCAGTATAAATACACATCACAATATCCCAATATATATACTTTAAAAATGAACAGCAGTCCACATTCAATAATCCATATATCCATGCAAACCTCTAGTGAATAAAACCATTCCGTGCTGATTTCTCATAAATAGTTTGCTTATATTATACAGTGTTTAACACATCTCCACATGATTGTGCTCCACCACTCATAAAATGCACTCGCCAGATAAGGTGAACCATTCGGCATAAAATGGTCTGAAGCGCTCTGTACATTAATGATCTTTCTCTTACCGTATATACTCGAGTATAAGCCGTCCCGAATATAAGCCGAGGGTGGGAAATGAGGCAGCTACTGGTAGATAGATACCATTAAAATACATTAATATTTATTTAAAAGAAAAATAACCTAGCTCTGTAAGTGGAAAAGGGGGTACAGGGCTACATATCATGTACTACGGATCATTTAACCCATTCATGTTAGCAGAGGATCATTGTAAATGTATTGTCTGCACTGTATTAGCAGTATATACTCTATATAGAGTATATACTGCTAATACAGTGCAGACAATACATTTACAATGATCCTCTGCTAACATGAATGGGTTAAATGATCCGTAGTACATGATATGTAGCCCTGTACTATGGATCATTTAACCCATTCATGTTAGCAGAGGATCATTGTAAATGTATTGTCTGCACTGTATTAGCAGTATATACTCTATATAGAGTATATACTGCTAATACAGTGCAGACAATACATTTACAATGATCCTCTGCTAACATGAATGGGTTAAATGATCCGTAGTACATGATATGTAGCCCTGTACTATGGATCATTTAACCCATTCATGTTAGCAGAGGATCATTGTAAATGTATTGTCTGCACTGTATTAGCAGTATATACTCTATATAGAGTATATACTGCTAATACAGTGCAGACAATACATTTACAATGATCCTCTGCTAACATGAATGGGTTAAATGATCCGTAGTACATGATATGTAGCCCTGTACCCCCTTTTCCACTTACAGAGCTAGGTTATTTTTCTTTTAAATAAATATTAATGTATTTTAATGGTATCTATCTACCAGTAGCTGCCTCATTTCCCACCCTCGGCTTATATTCGGGACGGCTTATACTCGAGTATATACGGTATATCATATCCTCCACTCTCCCAGGAACATGATATCCTGCTACCCAGGATATCATGTTCTAGCGGTTATGATGCTAACCGCTAGAAAGGCTTTTTTTTTTTTTTTGAAATAATGTTTATTGTCGGAAATGGAAGTCATTCTGCAATTGGCTTCCACCCTAGCAGTGTCCCCATGGCACAAACCCTCTCCTCCCCGCAGCTGTCCGTACCAGTGTTTGGCACTCGGCACATTGGTTTCTGCTTGTCTATCTTGTTTCAGAGACTGTTGGTCCTTCGCTGCTTGATTTAGGGCTAGTTCACACCAAGCGCAGAGCAGGTCCAGACCGGATCAAAACTGCGTCCAATGTATTCCAATGGTATTTTTAGCTCCAGTTCACACCGCAGCGTGCAGATCCAGAGCAGGTAAAAAAACTGCAGCAGGCCCTATTTTACCTGCTCTGGATCTGCAAACGCATAAAAAAGCATGCAAATCCCTGGAACACACTGAACGCCCATGTTAAACTAAAAAAAAATGGTTTTTTTTTTAGCCAAAAACGCATCTAAAAGACTAGCGTGCGTGTGCAGAAACCTGACTGGATCTGCTCTGCATTTGGTGTGAACAAGGCCTTAGACCTTTGTACAGTGTGTCTGCATGTATCCCCCCTGTTACTCCATGGAATCTGGATCTGATTCTCTCTGCTCTTCAGAGATCATCATGTGAACTCATCAAAGACATTCCTTTCTTTGCTGTGAACCAGAAGGTGGCGTTTCTTGTAGCCATCACCTCTGAGGCAAAAATCTAAACTGGGAGCTTTATCCTGCAGGGTACCCCTTCTTTTTTGCATAGGGACAAGGTGGTGGTAAGGCCTAGGACTTCTTGCCTGTGTATTTTTTGGCTTTCACCTCAACCAGAACATTATTCTATATCCCTCTGCCTGGCTGAAGATCATCAAAAGGAAGTTTCCCCCCCATCGTATGGATGTGGTTCAGGCTATGAGAGTCTATCACTCAGCCATTGCTTCAGTAGGACTGATTTTATGTATTTTATTTTCCTATTCTGGATGGACCTCGTAAGGGTAAATTGGCTTCTCTGTACACCATCTGAAGGTGTCTCGGACAGACCATCATCCAAACTTATGGTCTAAGGTCTCGTTCACACCTAGGCGTATTGCATACGCAATGCGTATCGCGGTAAAAAGTCACGTGACCCTCGCGTGTTTCCGAAGGCTACTTGGCTGTATCCCAATGGAAACGTGCAACAAAACGGCCCAAAGTAGTACATGTACCTTTTCAGGCGTGGGCCGTTTGTAGTGCGTTAGGGACGGGCGGAAATATGCCAAGGTGGGAACGAGACCATTGAATACAATGGGATTTATATTTTTGAGCGTTTTGTAGAGCGTTCGTCGAGCGAAGAACACGCTACAAAACGTTCAGGTGTGAACGAGGGCTTAAGGATCACGTTCCATCCTGTCCTCTACTAGATCTGTGAGTGCTTCTTGCTCTTTTTGGCATATTGCACTCATTCCCAGTTTGCAAAGTTACCACCTGGTCTATTTTTATTTCTTAAGTTTTACAAGGAGGATATTCAGGACTCATCTGATGCCAGCCTCGAGTGTTTGGTCCTTCATACGGCTCGTTCTGTTCAATTTCTCAATCTCATACCGTATGCAAATTGGTTCCTTCTGCCATGCATCCTCTAAAACATTTAGAGGCACTCCCCCCTGAAATGTTGCCATTTCCTGAGGGACAATATGCCAGCGTATTAAATACTTATAATTAGTTTCCATTACCACCGTATTTACTGTATAGTTGATAATGGTATTCCATATCTGGGACCAATCTTTTCCCTCTAACTTAACTGGAGCTCTGGAAAGCAGTAAAAAACAGAGTTTTTTACTTTTTTGGGGTTTTAATCCTTCCACATAATGTTATTTGATGTTGTGATCGGTGGGACAAATGGTAGAATTATCACAGGGCAATGGTAAAATAACTTTTTCTTATTTTGCCATTAATATATGCAAACATTGCTGAATTATTAAACCCATGGTTGTGGATAAGGTATGGAGCTAAATGACCCAACAGTTTTTTTTTTCAAAATAGGTATTTACCAAGACAGCTTATCAGTGGATTTTATCCTAATACTTGTATCTCAGTGTACTTTTTGAATATGACTTAAAATCTTTAATTATTGTTCCCAATTTTTTTTCATATTTTTTGCTTTCAGGTCGGCAGCAAGATTTTTGTATGATGTGTGTTATGCAGTCTCACATTGTTCAGGCTTTGTCTAACATGGGCAATGTCATCAAGCCAACTGGTGTTATCAATGACCTAAGACGTAAGTACATATTCCTATCTTCCTTTCCTATTCCTAAAACACTGTATACTCTCAGTATCACAAGTTGTTTTTGGCAATTGTTAATGGTGATTAGCAGGCGGATTGTAATCTGTTAGTAGATCTGTAATAGTAGGATCCGGTTTATATTGTATCATCATATTCTAATATACATTTCATTTTAGTCTTTATGCTTGTAATTTGTAGGTATTGCAAAACATTTCCGTTTAGGAAGTCAAGAAGACGCCCATGAATTTCTTCGCTATACTGTAGATGAAATGCAAAAATCTTGCCTCAACGGTTACATCAGGTAAGCTAACAATAGTGGGGTACAGATAGAAATGCATAGTAAAGTGATATAGCCTGTCTTAGGCCCCATGCACACCTAGGCGTATTGTAATGTGCACGTCTGACCCGCGATTCACGGTAAAAGTCGCGCGACCCCGAAGGCTACTTGGCTGTATCCCAATGGAAAACGCCCTACAAAACGGCCCAAAGTAGTACCTGGACCTTTTCAGGCGTGGGCTGTTTTGTGGGGCGTTAGGGACGGGCGGAAATAGGGCAAGGTGGGAACGAGGCCATTGACTACAATGCAATTTATATTTTTGACCATTTTGTAGAGCGTTCGTCGAGCGTAGAACGCGCTACAAAACGGTCAGGTGTGAACGAGGGCTTAAGGAAATTAATAACTGTTTTTGCATTTTTTATTTTTATCTCCATGGGATGTAGTTTAACCTCTTTTTATGGCAATAAGATTAATAAGGGAAGATTAGCATGTTTGTATTGCCTGATAACAATTATTCTGTTTCAGATATCATTTTCCCATATTGTATAGGCTGTTGTAGGGCAGTGTGTCGAAAAACCACATATTCCATAGATACTGACATAAATGAGGCCAACACTTTCTTGGTACCTGTAGCATTGATTGGAAGAAGGATCGGAAGGGCTGTAGATTTTTTTTCTTCTTCATGGGGTCTGCATTTCCATTGGGGTATCCTGACATAAAAGGTGTCAATTTCTATTTTGCCCAAACTTATAATAGTAATTAGATTATATTGGAAAATGTGAATCCTGTGAAACACTTCGTATTGTAAATTGTCTAACTATGTACTAACTATTATGTTTACTGGAAATTCTTGTCTTTGTCTTTCTATCTCTATCTATCATATCTATCTATATACATATAGATAGATATATATATAGAGAGAGAGAGATATATAGAGATATATCTCTATCTATGTAGATATATCTCTATCTATGTAGATATATCTCTATCTATGTAGATATATCTCTATCTATGTAGATATATCTCTATCTATGTAGATAGAGAGATATCTATGTAGATAGAGAGATATCTATGTAGATAGAGAGATATCTATGTAGATAGAGAGATATCTATGTAGATAGAGAGATATCTATGTAGATAGAGAGATATCTATGTAGATAGAGAGATATCTATGTAGATAGAGAGATATCTATGTAGATAGAGAGATATCTATGTAGATAGAGAGATATCTATGTAGATAGAGAGATATCTATGTAGATAGAGAGATATCTATGTAGATAGAGAGATATCTATGTAGATAGAGAGATATCTATGTAGATAGAGAGATATCTATGTAGATAGAGAGATATCTATGTAGATAGAGAGATATCTATGTAGATAGAGAGATATCTATGTAGATAGAGAGATATCTATGTAGATAGAGAGATATCTATGTAGATAGAGAGATATCTATGTAGATAGAGAGATATCTATGTAGATAGAGAGATATCTATGTAGATAGAGAGATATCTATGTAGATAGAGAGATATCTATGTAGATAGAGAGATATCTATGTAGATAGAGAGATATCTATGTAGATAGAGAGATATCTATGTAGATAGAGAGATATCTATGTAGATAGAGAGATATCTATGTAGATAGAGAGATATCTATGTAGATAGAGAGATATCTACGTAGATAGAGAGATATCTACGTAGATAGAGAGATATCTACGTAGATAGAGAGATATCTACGTAGATAGAGAGATATCTACGTAGATAGAGAGATATCTACGTAGATAGAGAGATATCTAGGTAGATAGAGCGATATCTAGGTAGATAGAGCGATATCTACGTAGATAGAGCGATATCTAGGTAGATAGAGCGATATCTAGGTAGATAGAGAGATATCTAGGTAGATAGAGCGATATCTAGGTAGATAGAGCGATATCTAGGTAGATAGAGCGATATCTAGGTAGATAGAGCGATATCTAGGTAGATAGAGCGATATCTAGGTAGATAGAGCGATATCTAGGTAGATAGAGCGATATCTAGGTAGATAGAGCGATATCTAGGTAGATAGAGCGATATCTAGGTAGATAGAGCGATATCTAGGTAGATAGAGCGATATCTAGGTAGATAGAGCGATATCTAGGTAGATAGAGCGATATCTAGGTAGATAGAGCGATATCTAGGTAGATAGAGCGATATCTAGGTAGATAGAGATATATATATTTAGAATTGCATCAAATGCATAGGAGAGAGTAGACAAGTTTATATGTTATTGTGACAAATGACGTATTTATTGGCGGGAAGTGGTGGTGATGACATAAAATTCTGTTTTTCAGTTATGGCAGAAGCACACAAGCAACTACTTTTATACACCAAGTATTTGGGGGATGTCTGCGATCTCGAGGTAAGAAATACGTTTCTTTCTCATCCATTGAGGCACAAGGAAGTCATTTATGTTAGGGTTAACCTTCTGTCTACAGGAGGATTGGACACTGGCAAACCCAGGATAATCCCATACTTTAGTTTATTAGTGTCCCAGGAGTATGAATGTCTTTTTGTCAGCTCGCCTGTGTAAAAGACCAACCTGTGTTTTTTCTAGCAACTTTTTTTTTTTTCTTGAATACATTTTTTTTCCCTTTTAACCAAGACACTTCTTTATACTGCTGCTAGAGTTGGTCTCTCCAATTTCAGCAATCGACCGTAGCTGTCCTCGGCCTGGCTTTTGAAGGGCATCGTCCAGACCCCACTGGACTGTATGTTCTGGGGATAATTCGGAAGTGTCTTTCGGGCACTCTGTTCCATGCATGAAGCTTACCAGCCTACATTCTGGTAACAAGTTAGCCACGGAGTGCTCTCCAGGTCCTTACCGGATGAGCTTGTGTCTGAGGAGCCTTTGTCATTACTCTTAAAGGATACAGTTTTGATGTTGTGTGCACCTTTTTGAAATTAGAGGATCAGCTTGTCGCTTCTTACCAGTGCTTTCGCCATGTCCTTTAGAGCCCCTAAGTCTGCAAAGACTTTTCTAGTGCACCTGCTGTTTCGAATTTTAATGGCGAATGGAAACCCCTTGACAAAATGTTTGCTTCCCCCTAGTGCTTATAACACCTGTATCCCTTTGAACAGGTCTTTGCTTAAAAAAAAAAAAGATGGTCAGCTAACACTGTGGAAAACAGCCACCATTCCAGTGGAGGATACTGCTTTCTTTAAGGGCCCAACCGATAATCTCTGGAAGCCCTCAAGAGTTTTGTAATCACAGGCAGGCCCTGCTCTTCACCACTTGTTGGCTGTGACCTCGCTTTCCCAAACCTTGGCTAACTGGCCAAAGTCCCTTTTTTTAAATGGTATCTCATCTGTAATGTGTATTGTCTAACACTGGCTAGATTGCAATAATTGTGTCTTGTATATTTCTATGTACAACAAAGTTTCTTTTTTTTTTGACTATGAGAAGGTATCTCTACTGCGGTTGATCCCTTGGACATAGAACGATTGGGGCAAATGGAGGTAGCTTTAGGTTACAGTTGGAAGAGGCTCCTGGAGGTTTTCCCTTCTCATCTCTCGCATAGGTCTGCTGTCAGTACTCATGCGGAGGAAACCTTGGATAAAGTGTTGGACGGTGGAATCCGCATCTAAAAACAAATCTGATGCGCATAGCCATCTAGAGACAACATCCCTTTTAAACCTACTCTGAATACCATTATCAATGCTGTTATTGGTGGCAAGAGCACCCAACTTCCTCAGAGAAAGAAGCCTAAGTCAAAGGCTGTGAAGGCTCATCACTTGCTGACATGGTCCCCACTCCTGCACAATCCAAGCCCAGACCCCTTGACTCCCACTCTATCTGTAAGGGCTAGTGTTCCAGGTTCGCCAACTCTTAGACCACCTTTTAGACCACCTTTCCCCTGCGTAAAGGTGTGCCCCCACTTTTAAAGTGAGGTGATATTTGTTAGCCTTTGCAAACACTTGGCTTGCATCTCGGTTGTATTGATGCAGGAGGTGGTTTGAGTTTTTCTCACCTCATACCCTCCTGTGTCACCACAGCAGATCTCCATTAGTCTCGCTCTCTCTGGTCTTTTGGGTCAAGGTGTCATTGTCCCAGTTCCTGTGGCATAACTGTTTTAGGTGCTTTACTCCTGCCTGATCACAGTGGCCAAATGCAAAGGGGACATTCTCCCACGTTGTATCTCAAAGCACTGAATGTTTAATTTGAGCTTGGAAATTCCCCATGGATCACCAGGTCAGTTGTCACTTCCTTCACCAGGACCACTTTGTCCCCAATGGTCCAGCACATCAGATTTCCTACACCTTGCTGTATGGCCACTGTGCTACCAGTTCTCTGCTTTGCCATTCAGCGTCTTCTATGTACCTTTGGTGTTCACGGTGCTTGCCCCAGTACTAGCCCTGCTGCGCTATGGTAATATCCCCTTTTGTGGGATACTTCGACGACCTACTGCTTGGGGAACAGTCTGTGCAGGCTATGTCAGACAATGTGGCCTTAACTATCCAGGCATTACAAGAGTTTGCATCTTTCAGCGCTGTAAACAAAATCACCATTTATATTTAATTTGATTTAGTCCTGGACACAGCTCAAGCCAGAGTGTGTCTCCCTCAAAAGAAGCTTTAGACTCCCCAATGTCAGATTTGAGCTCTCGAGTCCATGAGTTATCCGACTTTCCATTTTTGCATGAAAATGCTTGGTTTGATGGTAGCCTCCAAGGCAGTGCCGTTTGTCTAGTTTCACTTCAAACCTGTACAATACAACATTCCCATTATGGGACAAGTCATTCCAGTCCTTGACAAGTCCTTTCTTCCCCTCTTTTGGAAGATCCTTACTACTGATGTCAGCCTTGGGCTGTGGAGAAGTCCTAGGCACCCTGTCTGTGCGAGGGCTTGTTTTCCAGAGGAATCATCTCCTGATCAACATCCTCATTCCCTCCAGATTCAGTCAGACAGTGACAGGTGGATTTTCAAGCCTCATCGGATGCCAGATTCTGTTGCTTATCCCTCATTTGGCATGCTGTTGGACATCCTAAAGGTGAAAGACTTCATGTGTCTTATGTGACCACATGTGCAGCACCATGGCAACTGCAGATCTAAATATAGGTTAAGACGGCACTCTTTGGCTAGGGAGGGTTACGATCAGCTTTAGCAGGAAAAAAACAAAGGGGAAATTATAGAGGTTCCAAGACTATATGCATGCAAAGAAGGGAGAGAAGAGAGCTCGCTGCATGGGAGAAAAAATGCAAAGGGCCTGTGAAGTAGACTAAAGAAACTGGTGCAGGGTTGACCATATTTTACTATACTGTGTCATGGTGGAGTTGTTTAAAAATTCATGATTAAAGGAGTAAACGATATTGTTTGTCACACAAATTGCACATTTTAATGAGTCACTTGCCATCTTTCTGTTGCAGTAAAATGTCTGAAGTGCAAATCTGTATCCGATACATATGAAGATTGCCTTGACATTGCACTAGAGATAAAGGTAACTGTTACTGAGCATTGGTTTCAGCATTTACTTTTTACTTTTTCACTATGTTCGTGGTCATGTTATTTTCTTTGTTGCTCAATAAAGTACCATTCTAGACTTTTCTTTCCTTTTAGGGTATCAATAGTGTGGGGAAGGTTTTAATTGCTGCCTGTCTCCCCATTAGGCAGATTTCCTCTTGCTTCCTGTCCAGGATACCCCTCATGAATATGTGAAGCAGTCTTACTTTTGCTGCCTATGTTCCCTTAGGTAACATTAGATACATTGTAACACTCTGCAAAGCAAAATGTCCACAGTTGGGCCTTATAAATATTTTGTAAGGCAAAAAAGTGACTGTCCCATACACAGCACATTATGAAAGGGAAATTAAAGTTTAATATTATTGTGCACATATTTGTAGTTTATTACATATAGAGATTTGTAGATTAGACTTGAATTGCCAGAATGAGCAGTAAATACAACCTTTTGTGTAGTAGCTAAAGGGCCTTCATATGTAGTGAGCTAATATAGCTGTCCCATGTACCTAAATAATATAACAAACTATACACAAAAACAAGTTTACACACGCAAACACACAAACGATATTATATAATACATTATATGGAATTCTAGAAGCTGAAAAGGGATTTAGAAAACAATATTTTTTTGGGTATACATACAGCTTACGCTTGCTAGGCTGTGCAGCTGCAGTTGGTAAAGAAAATATACAAAGGTTGTGCTTAGCTTTCTAATAAGTCTGTGAGATATGCCATGTTGCATCTATAAATAATACTGATGTTCTTATGCCCCCTATAATCCTAACAATGTTTGAATTTGTTTCAGTCTTCGCATAGTATGAACCAGGCTCTGGAAGAGTTTGTGAAATCCGAGCAACTAGAAGGAGACAATGCATACAAATGCAGCAAGTAAGCTTTTAAATGTATTTACTGTTGTTATGCATTCTACATATGACATTTAACTTTCTCCCGGAGCACTCATATGAAAGCTGTATTATAGTCGAGGTCTCTGTAGCGTTAGGGTTTCTGTGTTACTATCAACAGCACACTGTACAGCCACCCAGATCACTCGCAGTTGTAGCAGGCGGCCCTGCCTGATGTTATTGGTCGCTAGGAAGCCAGCGGTCCTAGCAACCAATTACTGAAGTGGAGGGAGGAGCTGCGCTGGGTTATCACCAGCCTCAAAGTCCAGTTTATTCAATGTCGGCCAGCCATAATCCAGTGCAGGTTGGCAATCGTGCTCCGAAAAGAACCACCACTCGGTCCCTGTGTGGACAGTGGTCCACCATTTAGTGACTGCTGACCTAGATCATTGTTTGACACAAGTAGTTCATGTTTTCAGGAACTCATTCACATGTGTTTCAACTTGTGTTCCTTGTTGTGATGGGTGACTACTTCAAAACTTGACATGCAAGGGGTATATTAACAGTGAGGTTTAGAAAGGCTTTCTGTGTTCTGTGTGGACTGTCACTACAATCAACTTTTAACTTCTTTCATCACTGTTTAAAAGAAATCTGTGACACTTGCCATTGCTGACTTCTGTTTAAAACTGCTCCATGGCGGGTGTTTTTGAATTTGCTACACTACTTGGTGGGGCATTGATCTGGAAAAGCATAGTAGCGGTTATAGTCACTAAGTGCTGCAGGCAGGATAAAGATTACACTCCTGGAGTATTCAACTTAAAAAAAGAAAGTCACCAATCACAGCTCCCATAATTCTTCCTAGACAGTTCTATTTTATGTAACATTATTTGTGTAGTACTTATCTTGGCCCCTTGCTTCCTCAGGTGTAATCAGTTAGTTACGGCAACAAAGAAATTTACAATTCATAGAACATCTAATGTCCTGACTCTGTCACTGAAAAGATTTGCAAGTTTCAGTGGAGGAAAACTTTCAAAGGTAAGTCCAGGATGGTCCCCATTCTTTTAAGTATTTTTTCTGTTCATACTTGCCATCTTTAAAAGCTTCACTAAACAAATATTTCAAACTGTTCATAGGCTGTAGCTTTTACATAATTGACTTGTGTGTTTTATCTTGTGTAAATCACCCTAAGGCTGGGTTCACACCTGGACGACATCATTTTTGATGCCCAGTTTTGTGCGTTTCATGTGCATGCATCAAAACGTGCGTTTTTGGGAGCAGATTGTAGCTCATCGATGAGCGAACACGCAAAAACAGCGCGTTTTCAAGCGCTTCCTTTTGTCTATGGGGCCAAAACGAGCTGTAATATGCCAAAAAAGAGCTCCTGTACTCTTTCCAGTGACAGGCGTTTTGCTATTGCGACAAAACGCTCAAATGTGAACAGGGCTACAAAACGGTCAGTGTGAACCAGGCATAAGGTGTGCATTGTATTAATGGAGAACTATGAGGCGAGTGAAAATCACTCAGCCTCATAGTTCTAGCCGACCTCTGACAATGAGACTGTCACAGGCCGGCTCAGTAGATCGGGAAGTGAGAGAACACATAGCGTCGCTCGCTCACTTCTCGATCCTGTCCCTGCAGAGAGCCGTGACTGTCACTCACGGCTCCATGCAGGGTTCCCCCTCCCCTGTCCGATCCTCCACCGCTGACTGGCGAAACGGATGGGGGAGGGGCGGGCACAGCTGGCTCTGCCTCTACATAGGCAGAGCCAGCTGTCACTCACACACAGCTGCGCGAATCCAGACATAATTGTCGGGATCCGTTTCAGCTGCGGCGTCTCAGTATACCGTGAGCTGTAGCTCGCGGAATACTGAGCTTTGGGTGACGGGAGGACGATAGTTTGTGTCCTCCAGTTACCCTTAGGAGAACTATGGGGAAAAGCCCTGACTCCAAAGTTCTCTTAACTTTGGTGAAACTTTATATCTTCATGCAAAGCCAGATAAGAAAACTTATTAAGTGTTGTTTCGCTGCCCTGATTGGCTGTGACAGGTTGAACTCTGCTTTTCGGCCTAGTGAAGTATTTTGTAAAGGGTGCAGAGAACAGAAATGCTTTGAGGGCTGATTCACACCAGATGCATTGGGGCTCTGCTAGACGCAGCACCAACAGGCTGGATTGGTTCACACCAATGTGTTTCGATGGGAACACGGGGGCGTGCGCAGAAAAAAAAAATCAGACCTGCTGTACCTTTTTTCAGCACAGTGGAATGCAACGCGGTATATCTGCCTTGCACCACGGTGTGCCTGGAAAAATGAATGGAATGTCCCTTGAAATGAAATGTTCTACAAAAAAAAAACAGTGCAATGTTCCCGGGATCGGCACCTCTGCAGACCAGATGCTGCGCTTATGTGAATGGGCCCTGATTATATTGGTTACTAAACAGAAGGCAGTTTGTCTTTTGGCTGAAGATTTTTAGATGCATGAATGTGTACAGGATACTGTGAAGTACGGTGAAGTTTCCCTGCAGGTTTGGGCCTGTATTCCTGCAAATTGATTTGGCTTGGTAACAAAACTGGTGACGTCTTGACTGCTAAGAAGTACATTCATTCTGTAATATGACAATGATCCCAAACACATAAAAAAAACAAATTATTATCTGCAGCGAATAAAATGATCAGTAAGCCATTATGGGATTATATGAGAGATAAGGAGGTAAGACAGCCAAAGTGCAGTAAAACTGTTGCTAGCTCTTCAGGACGCTCGGAACCAGCCATCAAATACTTTAACAAAAACTGCATGCATGTATAATAGAAGTGCTGCTTTGTTAAAGGCAAATGGTGGTCATACCAGATATTGATTTTAATGGGGTTTTTTTTCTTTACCATACTATCTAGGAAAGGGGTAGCCAAACTCCGGCTCTCCAGCTGTGGTGGAACTACTCCCATGAGGCATTGCAAGATTCTCACAGCCACAGACATAACTCCCAGAGAGAGATGCATATTGGGATTTGTAATTTCACCACAACTGGGGGGCCGGAGTTTGGCTACCCCTGATCTAGGAAGTTTTCCATTATTTTGTTAAATATTCTGCTTTATAGAACTTTATAGAACTTTATTTTTATTTTTTTGTACTGTATGAATACATTTTGTTAATTTTTCTCCTTTTTTTTTTTTTTTTAAATTAAACTCGTGCAAGAACTAATATGCACACTTTTATCTTCAATTGCAGGAAATTAAATACCCAGAATACCTTGACATCCGTCCATACACCTCTCATCCAAGTGGAGATGCACTGATATACAAACTGTATGCTGTACTTGTACATAGTGGCTTCAGCTGCCATACTGGGCATTACTATTCCTATATAAAGGTACATTTATATTTTTCGGAATGTCGGTTTGCATTTTCTGCTAAGCCCAATGGAAGCACACCTGCGAGGTGAAAGAAACGGAAGGGGTAATACATTTTAGAACCACTGAACACCTCAGTGCTTTACCGTCCCTCTCTGGTGGCAGGAGCAAAGAGAGTTCTGTCATGGGGGGAACTTACTGGTAATTTGCTTTCCACGTATTCGCTATGATAACACATGGAGGCATTCTGCTGTTTTTAAATAGCATTTTTGGTTTCCTACACCTCACAGGTGGATGATTTCTTTTGGGTGTACTCAAAATTACCAATTAGATTTTTTTTTTGTACCTGGACATCATGGTATTGAAAAGACTTAACTATTTATCACAATTGCTACAAAATTATTTTTTACTGTCAATTTTAACCAGTTTATTTTTCTTTTTAATGGTTAAAAGATGAATGTGCAAATACCTAAAGGATTCAGTGTTTCGTGTTATCACCCACCCTAGTTTAAGTCCTTTACTTTTTGGTTGTGTTTTTTGTTTTGGCAATAGTGGGCTGGCATTGTAAGTAGAATGTCTTTATTTCATTTCTGTTGCACTGATACTTGAGTTGAGGACGTCGAACCATTTAATTAGTTCTCGCGTAATAGCTAACAGTCTAATGCCCTTACTTGCATACACTCAAATGCACACTGTAAGACCAGCTTGGCTGGAAACATACATTTTGCAACATGTTTTCCGATTTATAGAGAACCACACTGGCAGAACACGCTCCATGCTAACTGTGTCAGTTGTGGCCATGCAGAGACCTATCTCCTCCAGTAATCAGAGTTGCTTGTAAAAGCTTAGTTCACCTGCCAGATGGAGATGATGTGATGCGACATAGAGGGCAATAGCACCCCAGGTCAGTTCCTGAGATGCTTATAATCCATACCAAATGGGACCCTCCGGTGTAATCCTTTTTTCTTACAACTTAATTTAGTTATTAACATATTTCGTATAGTATGCAAGGACGGACACATTTGTGTTTTGAAAACATGCTATTAACCACTATTCTTCTTTGTGTTGTTCGGAGGTTTCATTGTGCTTTATGCTATATGATTTCTTGTGACCCAGCACTTATTGTGTGGCATCTGTTGTATTTCAGGCTAGTAATGACCAGTGGTACCTTATGAACGATTCCATCGTGTCCAGTGCAGATATCAGGACAGTCCTCAACCAGCAGGCATACCTTTTATTCTACATCAGGTATTTTCTTTTCTAAAACCCTTTTTCTTATATGGTTTTGCCAAATACTTTTAGCATTATTTTCACATTATTTACTTTTTTTCCCCCCAGATCCCAGAATGTTCCAAATGGTGATACATCATATGCTCTCCAGTCAGCCAGCCCTAATTCCCCACAACCCAGCTGCAGCCAGAGGGCAAGTGTGTCCAAGTTTTCATTTGTAGGACCCCAACAGATCATTAAGGTGAGAGCCTGTTCTACCACTCATTTGAATTTAATAACATATAATAATATAAAAAAAATAATTATCTTGGTTCAATTTGTAGCATATTCCTGGACTTTTCTCTATATATTACCAAGAGCAGAACAAAACGTGGCACATACCTTAAAACTGTGATGTACAAGTTTTGTTAATATGAATCAAACACACTGACATAAACATGCATGTGTAACATGCACACGGTATACTAGCCAGTGGTGGACAGTTTCTCTAAGTGAAGACCCTGCCATTCCTCTGCGGAGGTGTACAAACACTATTCTAATACATCTTGAATGTATTTGTGTAGTAATATTTCCACACTGGGGATGTGTAGTTTGTATATTGATATTCTAACGATTAGGGATGCACCGATACCACTTTTTTGGGTCTGAGTGCGAGTACCGATACTTTTTTTTAAGTACTCGCCGATACCAATTACCGATACTTTTTCTTAAAGGGGCAGATCACATTTTTTCCAAAGCAATACAAAATAATGATTTTAGGTCAGTTTCTTAATATTATGAAGAACTGTAACGATTATGTATTTAGATACACAAGAGTTTTACTGTATACGCACATTTGTTTTGTGCTCACAATAGCTATTGATTTAGGGAGGTTTTTTTTCTTTTGGCAGTTTTATTTTTCACACTAGGGTGTGATATTTCATCTTCATAGCTATTCACTGTATTTATGTTCTGATAGACAAGCTGATTGTGATGCCGGGTCACTTTATAGTTCACTTTAAGTGCAGCAGGTTCCCATTTTAGGTGCGTTTTATTCTTTTCTTCGCTCATAAGGCGTTGATCTCCAGCAGGATTCCGAAAAACCGGGTACAAGATTTCGACCAGATGGTACCATGTGCCTCTAAAGCTAGATAAAATATGAGGGGAATTTATCAAAACTTGCAGACAAAATCTGGAGCAGCTTTGCACAGCAACCATCAGCTTCTCTCTTTCATTTCCAAATCTTAACTGAAGAGAAGGTGATTAGTTGCCCTGGGCAACTGCTCCACATTTTGTCTGCTCCAGTTTTGATAAATTCCCCTCAATGTTTCCACAGTGCTCCCCCCTATGTTGAAGGTGTGGTCAACAAGAATGGCAATGCTCCATAACGTTTGGAGTTGCCCTTTGCGCCAAGGCTTTGGGGATCTAATTAGACATATTAAGCTACAAATAGAAACTTAGGAGGGAACCCAGCGGAGTTCTTCCTCCATCTTACCGCTCTCCAAAACAGATACAAGAAATATTTGAATGCATCTCATTGATGAGGTCAGGCAAGCCTGTACTCCAGGGATCGTTGACTAGTGTAAATTGTATGATTCCACAATGTAAGTCTTACCCAAATTAGGGGCAATCTGTTTGAAAATCCATTTCTATTGAGAAGTATTAATAAATTACTGTGGTTCTGCTTTTATCTCCTTCAGAATGTAAAACATATGAATGGGAATCGGTCGCCAAAATCTTCAGTGAATGGTCCAGTTCTAAACAATAACTTTGCAAATGTTAAAAGGCCAACGGGTGCTGTGCCAGTCAACCGGCAAGTGTCCATGAACTCAACAGTCAAGAAACAGAAGATTACTATTAATATCAACAAGCAGCATCCTGCCCTTCAAGGACCACCTCATCACGATACTCTCAAGGCTGAAGCTGCCACTAGTGCAAGCCTGACATCCACTACTACTACTAAACCATGTCCAACATTGTCTACCTCAAGTGTCCCTGCGCACTCCGAATCGAAGCATGCACCAATCAGGTTGAACCGTGGCACATTAGTCAATGGCAAGTCTAAAGTAACCTCCAACCTGCTAGTTCCTTATGGTACAGAATCTTCTGAAGAATCTGAAGAAGAACAGAAAGGGATACGTAAGAGAAGATGGAGTGGCAAGTGTGCAGATGGAACTGTTGCAACAAATGGTCATAGTGCACCCATGGATGCGCTAGATAGGACTGACAGTTTGAAAGAGGAACCAGTAACACCTTTAGAATCCATTCCGCCTACTCAGAATGAGCTCCCTAATAATGACACTTATGGATCATCAATGTCTAGTTCCCACAATGGGGAAAATCATGTAGGATCAAATACTTCTGTCAGTGTCCGTGAATTGTCTAAAGATGTGAGTATGATGTTACATTATATAGGAAGGTGTTGTGTTACTTCCGCTTGGTGCTGATTCCTCTGATTGCGTCACTGGGACAAGAATTGAGAGGAATTAGTGCTGCTGTTAGGTAATTTCAGTAATGGGAGGGGCATTGAAAACTTGAGGTCTGGCACATAGCATTTCACATTATTTTTATATAATGCAGAGCAAGCAAGTCTGCAGAACTACAAAATGCAGTTGCAAGCAAAAGAGGATTCCATCATGCAGTTATCGCCTAGAATATAATCATGTTGCCATTACTAATTCCATGATCATTTTAAAGTCATCTCTACTGAATCAGGTTTGTTTTATTTTAGCCGTTATTATTCTTTGCGCAGCCACAGTTGGATCCATTTGGTTTTTAGAATCGGGTATAGGGAGTACAGAGAGCAATGAGTGCTCAGTGCAGTAATCCACAGCAATCAATCATATTTCAGTTTACTATAGTCAGATCATTAAGGTACATCAGACTGCTTGACTTGGGTTACTGCACTTTAGAGACTTTCATTGTTTTGTCACTGCTTAATCATTTTTTTTTTCTATTATTAATTTAGAGGTATAGTGACATAGATAGCATCATTGCTATCCTCCCATGCCAAGGTCCTAGGTGTCATCCTTGACTCGGACCTCACCTTTCTTCCCCACATCCAATTACTATCCAAATCCTGCCGCCTTCACCTTCGTAACATCTCCAAAATACGCCCCTTCCTCACCAAAGAAACGGTGAAAAATTACTCATCCACTCACTTGTTATATCTCGTCTTGACTATTGTAACTCCCTACTCATTGGCCTTCCACTATACAGACTAACCCCCCCTCCCCTTCAGTCTATCATGAATGCAGCTGCCAGACTCATTCACCTAACCAACCGCTCAGTGTCTGCAAACTCACTCTGTCAATCCCTGCACTGGCTTCCACTCGCCCAAAGGATAAAATTCCAAATATTAACAATCGGTTACAAAGCCATCCACAACTCCGCCTCCGGATATATCTAAAATCTTGTCTCAAAGTATCACCCTAACCGTCGGCTCCGCTCATCCCAAGACCTCCTGCTTTCGAGCTCCCTTGTCAACTCCTCCCATGCTCTCCTCCAGGACTTCTCTAGAGTCTCTCCCATCCTCTGGAATTCTTTACCCCAACCTGTCCGTCTGTCGCCCACCTTGACTGCCTTTAGGCGATACCTAAAGACTCATCTCTTCAGGGAAGCCTATCCCACCTCAACCTAACCTCTCAACCATCACGTTCTCAAACAATTCATCCCCACGCAGCTCCCTCCTAATGTATCACTTCCCCTTCCCTTTTAGATTGTAAGGCCTCAGGGGCAGGGCCCTCCTTACCGTCTCTTCTTGATTTTGTATTGTGATGTCTTCCCTACATTGTAAAGCGCTGCACAAACTGTTGGCACTATATAAATCCTGTATAATAATAATAGAGTAAAGGGGAATTTTGTCAGCTTGTTTGAGAAAATCGACATACTGTGTTTTTCATTTTAGACCGAATCTTCATTAATTCTGGACACAGAGGACATGGGTACAACAGCAGCTTCGCCACCAAGCTATGCATGTGAAAGCACTTCGCCAGAGCAGAGGTAATTACAGTAGCATTTTTGTTGAGGTTTTTTTTTATGTAAGGAACATACAAAATTGCTTAGATCAAAGTGCAATTAACATTGAATACTTGTACAACATTGACATTCCATTACGTAATAGACAATGTTTGTTATCCACAGAGCAAAACTGATGAGATCCTCTGGTTTTGTTAAGTAATTCTTGAAAGCATTCTAGTCTAGAGGGATCAAAATAATCTTTGGCACCATACAGGTACAAAGTAAGAATTCAATTTAGGTGAATATGTGGCTGCTCGTGCTAAAACTGATGCTTCTTGGATGCCAAATGTCTAGGGTCAAATCCTGTCTCTAGCTCCCCCTCTCCCAGAGGGACCTGAACTGAAGCTTAGTATAAATTGAGGGGGGCAATTACAATTTACATATTGAAGACAATGCCACCACCAGTTTTCTTGGCAACTTAAAAAAATGAACATTTGAAAAGGACAAAACATCTCATTGGCTGGAAGGGTATAAGATATTTTCTAGCTCTTTGCCTATCCAACATAGAATGTTCTTCTCTAGGCATGGTGAAAAATATAGTTCTGTCATTAAGTCAAGGTTAGACTCTTGTGTTTTTGGTTTGGGTTTCTTAAATTAAATTTGGGTTTTGGGTATGTGGGATGTTTACCTGCCCATAAGGACATGGATAGCATCATTGAGCACATAATGACCCGTTTATAGTGGAAGGTCTGTATGGCAGCACTCCATATATTAAACAACAGCAGAAACTTTCACTGGTTGTCCAAACCAGAAAGGGGTTTAGGGCAAACATAACAGGCCTCCAAAAACAATTAAAACCAAATCACATTTTATTATCAACAACCCGTTTTGAAAAACGGTAGAAAAACAAGATCAAATGAGCATCATGCTCATTATGAGACAAATGCTGATCTCTCTTTCATATGCATTCATAATTTAGTTCAATGTTCATGACAGACATTGACTGAATAAATGTCAGTCAAAGTACCGCAGCGCTGAACACTGAAAAATGGCCTTGCCAGGAAGGGGGTGTAACACCCCGGTCATCAAGTGGTTGTAGGTTCATAAATGAAATGTCACTGTTTTGTGTATCTATTACATTGGAAAAATCCAGAAAAATAATTGTTTGTTGTCTTTTGCTTTTGTGTTAGACCCCAGCTGCAAACTACAGAAAAGGCTGTGACAAAACCAGAAATCCCACCAAATGAGGAGAATGGTATCAGGATAACAGACTGTGAGAATGCTGCAGAGAACAAGCCACTACTACAGTCTTTTGGGTCCTCGGAAGACCACAAAAGGAACGGCGATAGACGCTCACAAAGCTTTGAAAGATCTAAATATGATCGCTATAGGTCATCTGATAGGGAATACAGACACAGGGATTACTCTAGTAGTGGACACTACAAACATAGAGACTATGACAGGCAGCGGTCCAGAAGCAGAGGGAGAACCAGAGAACGCTATTCATATTACCATCCTAAAAGGGACCGATCAAGAAGCCGGGAGAAACACAGGAGACATTATTCCCCTTATAAAGATCATCGGGGGCATTATGATAGGGACTATTGGGCCTGCAAAGACTATAAATCAGGATGGTCACACCACAGCAAGGGGCGTGATCATGATTATAACGTCAAATACAACAACCATCACTCTTCCTTTAATTCACGTCACTCCGAATCCTACCACCACAGAAAATGTAATGGTTACTCTAACTACCATCAAGATTATGGAAGTTCCAAAAAAAGAAAATACCATCATGATGGCAGCTCAGGGGAGGAAGACTACGAACGTGGCTTTAAACGCCAGGCCAATCACAACCGCTCACCTTCCGATTGGCCACGAGGTATGGGCAAATTATATAAATATGTCTTTTTAAAGTATGAACCAAGCCATTATGTTTAACCACTTATGTCCCGGGACCTCCTTAAATTCTCTTACGTCCAAGAGTGTTTTTTGGCGGCGGGTTTCTTGTGATGTCTTGGTTTCGCACATTATGCTTTTTAGGGTCTGTAGTCTACCCTGTCTTTTTTTAGATAAGTAGATTTAATTTGGTAGCAGATTTGGGTACATATACACTATATTGCCAAAAGTAGTGGGACGCCCCTCCAAGTCATTGGATTCAGGTGTATAAAACCAAGCACCTAGGCATGCAGACTGCTTCTACAACATTTGTGAAAGAATGGGTTGCTCTCAGGAGCTCAGTGAATTCAAGCCTGGTACCGTGATAGGTTGCCACCTTTGCAATAAGTCCATCCGTGAGATTTCCTTGCTACTAAATATTCCACGGTCACCTGTTACTGGTATTATAACAAAGTGGAAGCAACTGGGAACAACAGCAACTCAGCCACGAAGTGGTAGGCCATGTAAAATGACAGAGCGGGGTCAGGGCATGCTGAAGTGCGCAGAAGTCGCCAACTGTCTGCAGAGCCAATAGCTACAGACCTCCAAACTTCGTGTGGCCTTCAGATTGGCACAACAACAGTGCGTAGAGAGCTTCATGGAATGGCTTTCCATGGCCGAGCAGCTGCAGCCAAGCCTTTCATCACCAAGTGCAATGCAAAGCGCCGGATGCAGTGGTGTAAAGCACGCCATCACTGGACTCTAGAGAAGTGGAGTGATGAATCGCACTTCTCTGTCTGGCAATCCGATGGACGGGTCTGGGTTTGGCAGTTGCCAGGAGAACCTGACTGCATTGTGCCAAGTGTAAAGTTTGGTGGAGGGGGGATTATGGTGTGGGGTTGTTTTTCAGGAGTTGGGCTTGGCCCCTTAGTTCCAGTGAAGGGAACTCTTAAGGCATCAGCATACCAAAACATTTTGGACAATTTTATGCTCCCAACTTTTTGGGAACAATGTGGGGGATGGCCCCTTCCTGTTCCAGCATGACTGCCCCCCAGTGCACAAAGCAAGGTCCGTTAAGACATGGATGAGTGAGTTTGGGGTGGTGGAACTTGACTGGCCTGCACAGAGTCCTGATCTCTATATGATAGAACACCTTTGGGATGAACTAGAGCCGAGACTGCGAGCCAGGTCTTCTCGTCCAACCTCAGTACCTGACCTCACAGGTGCGCTTCTGGAAGACACATTCCCATAGACACACTCCTAACCCTTGTGGACGCCTTCCCAGAAGAGTTTAAGCTGTTCTAGCGGCAAAGGGTGGGCCAACTCAATATTGAACCCTATAATATTTTTTTTCTATCGTTTATTTGTTGGAGACTTCATAATATTGGACATTTCTTTTGATTTTTATTCTCATTCTTCTGGGCTTTTTTTGTTTTGAAGATCGGAGAGCTTTAAGAACTTTGGGTGCATTTTTTATATTATAAGTGCATACTTCTACTTATTTTCGAAAGAAAACAACACAGACTGTTTTATATTGTGATATATTTATTTTTCACATATATGACACATGTTTGTTTGTTTAATATTTTTTTCACAATAATATTTTTTTCACATATATGACACATGTTCTTTGAAGATTTTTGTTTATTTATTTAATAAGGTTCATGTATGACACGCCTTTTATGACACCTGCTGACACATTTTATAACGTACTATAAGTTTTTACACAAATATTTATTATATATACACTGTTTCACGATTGCTTGACACGGAGGTGACACCATATGATCCCTACCGTTATCTAATTTCCTGAAGGGCATTTAGCGCTGTACACTTCATTACACCAATATAGTGTATATATCTTTTTATTTCCTTGGTTTTTATTGGGAATTAATTATACATTCCAGACTGAGCCAGTTTATAAAATGGCATCTGGGACTGAAGCGGTTACGTTTTGGATTGAGTGGAGAGGGGTTAGACGCTGTCACTTTCTCTTTGCCTCTTGATGACATGTTTGGGCGATTTTCTCTCGCTTTTGTCATGCTGACCATGTTGTCTAGCGAGGCCACAGAGAACTGTAACAACTGACAAAACATGAAGAGTGAGTGAGGCTGGAGATATGGAAAGTTATTTCTTATATGGACATCAACTATCCTTAAGGCTGGATTCACACCTAGGCGACACCTATTCCGTTTGTTTCACGCACATCCTTTTGAGCGTTTTTTGCGTGCATATATTGTCACGTGTTTTTGCAAGCAGATTTTGGCACATTCATGTAAATGGGCAAAACACACACAAAATTGCTCAAAAAAAATTGCACTGTGCATTTTCTTTTGAGTCTATGGGACAAAACACACTGAAATCTGCCCCAAAGGAGCTCATAAACTATTTTGAGTGACAGGCGTATTTCTGCTTGTGACTCAACTCCCAGGCGTGAACGGGGGCCATAGAAATTAATGAAATTCCTTGGATGGAGCGTTTTGTCGTGCAGAATCAGCTGTGAAAATATGCCTAGGTGTGAATGGAGCCTTAGATGCAAAAACATTCAGTGCCAGTCATAGTCTGACTACAACTGGCATGTTTCACTTTTGGCAAAAAATAAATGTATCTGCATTGCAGAAAGAAAAAAATGCATTTAATAATTTTTTTGCATTGGAGCCTGGAAAGAATTGCTGCCATGATCAAGCGGGATGACGGGTGAAATGTACAGGCTCCTACAAGCTGGAGCCTCCAGCCCCACGTCCGGTCCTCTATTACTATTGTCCTCCGGCACCATAACTAGAGTTTGTGTGATGACTTTACTGGCACTCATTGAGAACGGAGTCCCTCTGCTGCAGTGGCAGACTGGACTTGTAGTGTTTTCATTCACAGATCCTGTGAATGAATGATTTGGCTATGTGGACGGAACCATGCACAACCACACCAAGTTCTAACATATACAAAAGCTTCTGTGTGCATATTACTTTGTCTGGGAGGGTCAGCTTTATGAGAGAGAGTTGTTGCCATCAGAATTCTTATTTCCTTGCCTGATCATTGTTTCTTTTGTTTTAGACCGATGAGAATGTAGCACCTCGCACATCTTGACTCCTGAAAACACTGGATTGAAAACTATTTGAGCACATCTTGGAGAAAACCAGGATGGAATCTTATCAGCCCAATATGCTCTCTGTGAACAACCCATATGTCTCCACAAACTAATAAAAGCGTCTCTACCATTCAGACATGAGCCATCGGTTGCTTAGCCCCCTTGACCCGATGGTTTTTTTTTATTTCTTTTTTTTTCCTAAAAGCATTTGCAGCTTTCCCCCCAAATACTTCTTCTTTTCTTGGATGTGATGGTTATGATGCAATCAAAACCCATCGTTAACCCATTGGCTTAGTCATTTGGTTTTCCAGGTTGTGGTCAATCAACCTTACCATCAACAGTGTGCATCTTGGTTGAATGACTAAAGACCAACTCAACTTCCCATTCCTCTCGGTGTGTAAAAACGAACAGTTATTGGACTTTGCGTTTCACACATCCACGTGAAAAACTTTACCACAAGTATTTTCAAATAGTTTGCTTTTGTTTTAGACATGTTTCATCCAGTTCAAGAACTCAAGCGCCAAACACTTTTTTTGGAGTCTGATCCGATGTAAAATTGGAAACACCCTGGAACATGTGCTCTCAAATGCTGCTTCCTAAGAGACTCAGGATTATGTGTGTTCTATACGGCATGTTTTCTTTTCCCATGATACACCTTCACAAAAGCTTGAGGGATCATTGCATTCTCCATCGAATTTTCTACTTCTCCTAAACGACCTAGTGTTCCGAATAAAAGCCAGGGGTTTATATTTGAAGAATTTTATCTCCAGCCTCTCGCTCTCCCTTTTCTGTGTTGTGTACGTAAAGCAATTATGATTTTTACATACAGATTCCGAAAAACAGGAAATGCTCATTTTGTCATTTTGTGAATGTTGATTTGTTGTCTTAAAACATATTAGTTTTATTTTTTAATTTAATTTCATGGACCTGAAAGGAAACCTTTTTCTGTCGGAGATGTTTTAAATGGGTTACATGTTATCCTATTTTAATGCCCAACAATTCAATACTTCATACTGTGATTTTTATTTAAATACTACGTCAGAAAAGAAGTTACAAAGAATGACAAGTTTATAATTGTTTCGCTCCTGCATCAGGAGCCAGAAAAGTATACATTACAGTTAACTGCATAATCTATTGTTTATTCCTATTAGTATATAAACACTGTTTAAACAAAGCAAATTGTGTTGTGTTCTTTCTGTAGCCATCATGTATGACAGGGCTGAGTCACAGGTATGAGTGGAGTGTGCATGGGGCTAATTAAAGTTAAACTCTGGTGCAGAAAAACATTTTACTCTCGGAATGGGTCCCCCAGATCTACCAGTCGATCGCAAAGCTATTTCTGGTAGATCGCAATCGTAAGTTGGAATTAGCTGCTCTGTTTACCTGGGAGCTCAGCAGCTGGTGGCCGGGTGCAGTTTGCTGTGTTGGCCAGCAGGTGGCACTGTGTCCTGGCACAGCTGCTGAAAGCCGTGGTTCAGCATGCAGCTACTCTGGGGGAATCTGAGAGCCGATCCCTTGGGGGACACATCCTACAGGCCTGGGCAGGCTGACTGGTGGTGGTCTTTATCAGAGTGAGGGGGCATTGTGTACCGCAGCCTGTGTTATCTCTACCCACTGTACCCAGCCCTGTACCCATTGGTGTATTCAGGTTTGGGGCTGCCTAAAGCAAGGCAAAACTCGGGCGCCTGCCACCTCTTCCCCACCCCTTCCTGTTTAATACTTTTTGCGTAACCTGACAGTTGCTGGATACAGTGCACATGCTGTATCCAGCTTTTGACATGTTCTGCTATTAGCGTAGCAGGAAAGCTGTGGTCTCGGGGGCTGTGCAAGATCTGTGGTGAGCTCTGCGAGGTCTACGGTGGGCAAAGCCCCCCACAGACCGTGCAGTCTGCCGAATCTCAGGGGGGTTGTGCAGTATCTGTGGTGGGCTATGCAGGCTGCAGAGCCCCCTATGGAACCTGCAAAGCCCACCACAGATCCTGCTGACCCTCTGCAATCTGCTGGATCTCAGGGGGGCTGTGCAGGATCTGTGATGGGCTATGCAGGCTACAGAGCCCCCCCCCACGGATCTTGCAGAGCCCCTTACAGATCTTGCAGAGACCCTGCAGTCTGCTGAATCTCAGGGGGGCTGTGCAGGATTTGTGGTGGGCCCTCCCAGCACAGTCGTCCTACCTGGCACGGGAAACCCAGCCTCCTCCGCTGCCTCGGCGTCCAATCGTCGTAGCTTCGCCACCCGACTGGAGCCTAGTGACGCCTCTCGCCACCACCATTGCCGTTTCCTCCGTTGCAGTCTTCGTCCTCCATCTTCACCCTGCCTCTTCCGTCTCCGCCCCCATCTCCTCTGATTCTGCCCCTACTGCGCCCGCCGCGTTGTCCCGTTCACATAAGGCAGCCAGGCTGCTGGTTTCTGTGCAGCCCATCTGGAATCTGCCGCCCGAGGCAAACGCCTTGTTTGCCTAACGGCAGATATGCCCCTGCCTGTACCCCACCTAACGACAAACTAAGATTAGGAGCGTTAGTTTTTTTAATTTAAATTATAGGTAATACTGTGTTTCCCCGAAAGTAAGACCTAGCGCTATCTTCAGTGATTTCTGTAATATAAGACCTACCCCGAAAATAAGACCTAGTTTGGTGGTAGCTCTTATAGTACAGAAATCCCTGAAGATAGCGCTAGGTCTCATTTTCGCGGCAGCTGCACATAAACTGAATTTTAAATGTAAAGACCGGCCGCAGCTCCCG